TAACACTGTGAAATAGTGAATGTATCTTGTAATTAGATATTTTTATGTCTTTAATCTCCATTTGATATATATCTCGACATGGGCGACCTCGGCCCTCGGACAGTCTGTCTACCCCCTCAGTAGACCACCTGCAACTCCTTATATATAGGTAAGCAACCTCCAATCCTACACTTTACACAGGGAACATAAACCAACCCATATCAATTGATACATCATGACGAAAAACAACGACAACCCATCAATCAAAACAGGCAAAGACCAAGCCACCGACCGCCTACACCAGGTCTCATCCCATATATCCCCACCAGGAGACCAACCAAGAAAGCCCAAGTCAAAAGCAAAGTCCACAGAAAATCGCCTCCCAGCAGATCATTCCGATGTACTAGATCAACTAGCAACGCTCCGCACAATAGCCGCAAAACCAGATCCCACGAACCGAGGCTACGTCCGTCAAAAGCAAGCAGGCAAGCTATGGGTACGCGAGCGCATCGAGAAACTCCTAGACCCAAACAGCTTCCAAGAAATTGGGTCCGTTTCTGGCACGGTGACATGGCAAAAGACCGCGCCGATGCGCGAGAAACCTGTATCCTTCGTGCCCAGCAATAACATCCAAGGCGCCGGAATGCTTCGCGGGAGGAAGGTTCTCCTCACAGCTGATGATTTCAGTATCCGGTCTGGACATGCGGACGGCGCGAGTACCGGCAAGACGGTTTATGTAGAGAAGCTTGCTATTGCGTTGCGTGTGCCAGTTGTTAAGCTTGTTGATGGGAGTTCTGGGGGTGGAAGTGTAACGACGATTCGGAAGGAGGGGTGGAGTTATCTTCCTCATGTTGCCTCCTTTCCGCATGTTATTAAGCAGTTGAATATGGGGATTCCGAATTTGGGGGCTGTTGTTGGGCCTGCGGTGAGTTTCGGATATTTTCTCCTCGTTTTCGCTTTTGCTTTATCTACCCCTTTGGTATTAGTTGACACAAGCTGAACTGTTCACCATTTAGATTGGACTTGGCGCTGCAAGAGTGGTATCCTGCCACTTCTCCGTGATGGCAGCTGACATCGGAGCACTGTTCAATGCAGGTCCGAAGGTTGTTGAGGGCGCAACATTCGAAGAAGGTCTCGATTTCCAAGATTTGGGCGGACCTATGGTTCATTGTATGAACGGCACGATTGATAACCTCGCCGCCAATGAGGCAGAGTGCTATGAACAGCTGCGGGTAGTTCTGAGCTATCTCCCCAACAGTGGAAGCGATGCACCTCCAACAATTCCCTGCATTGACCCAGAGGAGCGTGAGGATGTTGCACTGCGGAGTATCATTCCTCGACGGCAAGCGCGCATGTACAATGCCCGTTCAATCATCACCTCTGTAATTGATAAGGACTCATGGTTTGAGATCGGAGCATTATGGGGTAGGACTGCAATTGGTGGACTTGCACGTCTGGGTGGTCGTCCTGTTGGGATTATCTCGCTCAACTGTGAAGTGAATGGAGGTGCACTGGATGCGGCTGGCAGTCAGAAGTTAACGCGGCTGTTGAAGTTGTGTGATGTGATGAATCTGCCTATTTTGCAGTTTTTGGACGTCCGTAAGTTATTTTGCTTTATCGTGGATTGTTTGAAAAAAGCTGACATGTTATTTGAAGCGGGTTATGCCATTGGAACTGTTGCTGAGCGCACGGCGACAATGCGTTGGGGGGTCGAACTCGCCAAGGCTTACTTCAGTACCACCGTGCCGGTGTTCAATGTGGTCACACGGCGTGTGTTTGGTGTAGCGGGTGGTGTTATGTTGGGTTGTCGTGATCCGGTTATGCAGGTCGCTTGGCCGTCTGGGCAATGGGGTTCGTTGCCTCTGGATGGCGGAATTGAAGTTGGGCATCGGCATGAGCTGCGCGAAGCCGAGAAGGTTGGAAAGAAGGAGGAACGGTATCAAGAGTTGGAAGAGGAGTATCTGAGGCTGATGAACCCAGTGCGTACGGCGAACGCGTTTGGAATCGAGGAAATTATAGACCCGACAGATACGCGGAAGGTTTGCTGTGGTTGGGCATCGCATGTATATGAGGTGCTCATGAAAGAGAGATTAGCAGACCGAGCCTGTGGGAAGCTTCAGCCTTCTTTTGCCTAATATAAATCCGTATGAAACAGTCTGATGATGCATGGTGAATCAATATAGCGACAATGAACTGAAATCTACATACTACTTAACAAAAAGAAAAAAAAAAAAAGAATGGAAGGAATCGCCCTGGAACGATACTGTGGCCTCCGGTATATTTTATATAAAACGACAAAAATGAGCTGGAGTCAGCCGATGTACTATCCGCCGACTCGAGCTCATTGCCTATAGTACTTTGGAGTGGATGATAAGGAGTAATTTATAATATCTGACACTACTATAAGTTCACCTTGCAACATTGGTTTATAGAATCTCTACCATACATGGCTGTTCCAATGCTCAATTATCCAGTTGGTGATCCAACGCCCGTCTACGTTCTTGTCATGATCAGCCGATAGAACCAGGGCAGTTATCAAGGCCTCTACAATACATATGTAGCAACTCAAGTATCCTCGTTTTTCGACTAGGCTTAATTCAGGCATCAATATTACCCGAAAAGGGAATTTTGTTGCATAGGACTATACCGCTGCGGATGTGAGCATCCACAAAGGCCCAAATCAATCGCATTGCACTAAGTCGGAATACAAGATACTTAAGCATCAATATTAATTCATCTGAAACGATATCTTTCATCATTATTTTACGAAGTGTGGATGGTCATAGACAAGTGGGAAAGTGGAGTTCAGACGAACCAAGACCTATATCTTCCTATCGTCTTAAGATACATTTAAATATTTTAAATATATTTGTAGTTTAATAGTTTTGGTGAATGTGTATGTAGAATATATCGGTGGGTTTATGTCTCTAAAGGTTGGGTAGTATATACAGTTCGCAACTCTAATTTGATTCCTCGCTAATTTTTCTGGGATGGATTGGGCGTCAGCGACGGTTTGATCGTGAATACATTCCCCTTTATGTTTTGATTCAGCTAGAATAACCGGTCTGTTACTTGTGTTTGTCGAGGCAAAGGACGAAAGTTCTGACTCAAACTAGAGGACTCGTAGCCAAAATTTCCAAATTTCATTCTTTTGGCTGATCATCTCTACCTCGATTACAGGTATCATATACTTTGTTTGCTATGTTTGCTATGTTTCTTTGTTCTCCAAAAGTGCTACTAAGCCTAATTGGGAAATACGTTCAAAAACATGGAGATATCTCTATTTGTATGGGGACGAAAAGCTTCGTTCTTGACACTTGGAAACTGTCCAAAAACATAGAGATGTCTCCGTTTGTATGGGATGAAAAGCCTCATTTTTGTCATACTGGTGTTCCATGCCGAGTTGGTTACAGTACACTGTATAGAGAGGCCTGAAAGCGGTCTAAAACAAGGCTTAATTCAGGCATAAGTCAGGCCAAAATAAGGCACCAAGGCATTAAATTCAGGCAGGCGGCATTGAGCGCTACCGTAAGTTTGCTCTCGTCAATTGTTTGCTCCCAGTCCCTTAGCCCTAATTAGTTGGTTAGTTATATCTTTTTGTACATGGTCTGGCAGCTTTCAGCAAAAAATTAATATACCTAAGTTACTATTACAAATGCCTTATTGATCAAAGTACTCCGGTTCTGCTAGAGCTGTAGGGTACGATATGAAGCTTTTTCATCCCAAACAAATATATCCATATATTTTTACATCTTGTGGTGTTCATTAAGTACAAAGATGAGCCCTTTCTACATCATACTAATACCCTACACATCCTCACATTGTTCGGTGTTCCCAAAATGTATAAAAATAAAGCTTTTGGATATACACAAAAGGCGTTGAAATGTGTAACCCTATAGATGAGTTTCATTTGTATAACTAGGGATTCGCCTAATAGTTTTGATAGCATCAATAAATTTAGTATCTATATACTCTTCATAGAATTAAAAAAACGAAAAGTGGAAGACTTATTCCTTTAGCCAATGGTTTCTATAGATTCATTATACCTTTAATGCCATTGCCGCCTTATACGCAAATCTATAAGTGTATACCTCTATAGTCAGGGTATCTCTATGGCCATTTTCGCTTTATATGAAAATCTATCTACAAGCATATGCCGCTATAGATTCATTACATCTTTAATGTTATTGCCGTCTTATACGCAAATCTATCTATAATCGTATGGCTCTATAGATTCATTATATCTTTAATTCCATTGTCGCTTCATACGCAAATCTATCTATAAGCGTATGTCTCCATAGACAAGGTATCATATACAGTTGCTAGTCTCTAACCCAATTTCTCTTCAATTCCTACATGATTGATTAGGCGTCGACGACGGATTCCCCATAATTGAATTCCTCTTATAGATTTGGATGCCCTGAAATATCAAATCTCTGTCTAGTGTTTGTTAAGGCAAAGACTGAAAGATCCCTCCTTCGAATGAAGGACTCGTGCCCTAAAATCGAAGACTTTATTCATTTACTCGATGGTCTCTACGGATCTATTGTGCCCCTTAGCCAATTGCCCCTCGATGTAGCATGACAATCATTGCTATGCCGGCGACGCTCAATTGCTCGAGTATAAATAGCCCCTCTCTCACGACTTGGACTCTCCTTCTTCTTCATCTCCATACCTCACCATCTATCCTCTACCATCCTCTATCCTCTACCATTCTCTATCCTCCACCATCATCTACCATCTATCATCATCAACTATCATCATTTACTATCATCATCATCAACCGCAATCATCATCAACTACCATAGTTGATCCTCATCTGCCTCTACATCATCTACAACTATCATCACCATCAACCACAATCATCATCAACTACCATAGTTGATCCTCATCTGCCTCTACATCATCTACAACTATCATCACCATCAACCACAATCATCGTCAACTACCATAGTTGATCCTCACCTGCGTCTACATCATCGTCGCCAGTTATCTTCATCAATCCAACCTCCACCTTCACCATGCCCGGCATGAGCGAACTACAACTGAACATCATCCGGGACTTCACCTCGACCCGCGATACTTTGGTTGCTGAGCTTGAGAAGTTTTCTGGAGGCGATACCAATGGCAGAGTGGTTGTTCGGGTCCAGTCGTTCTTGTTTCGAATTAAGAACACCTTGGCAATGTGGGCCAGGCTTCGTTGGAACTTGAAGAACGAGGGCCGGTGTTTCGAAGACCGCTGCATCAATCTCATGGTGTTGGCAGATGAGATGGCTCAAGACTTCCCTCACTGTGTTACCACTGTCATCGACGAGAAGGGTGTCATCGAGATCCAGGATCTTGTTATGCGGAAGAGTTTTGATATGTTGGCAATGCAGCTTGGAAGTTTAACTTTGTGGGGCTGCAGCAACATTGACACCGCGGCTGTTGAGAATGCTTGTATGGCAGAGAAAGAGCAGCGCCGATGGGAACAAAAGCCAGTCTCGGAAGACGATGAATGCAGCAAGTCTCTTCGAAACATGTGGTTCCGGATGTACTACAAGGACATGGACTGCGACTGCCACCAGTGCCTGGACTTGTACCTTCCGCTCCGCTCCCCCACACCCTCTCCTACACTCCCCCGATGTCCATGTCCAACATTGATGGCGATTCCCTGCCCAGCTTGTTGGAGGAGTAAGCACGAAAGTTCTTTCTCCGGGGTCCTCTGTGTTTTGACGGTGCCTACACTTTTGGTTACATTGATATCTTCATGGTGAATTGTTACAACAAAAACAAAAAAACAAAAGAAAAAAACAAAAGAAAACAAAAAAAGAAAACAAAAAAAGAAAAGAAAATTGAAGAAAATGAAGGAAAAAATGGGTGGTGACTTTTTTGGTGACTTTTTGTTTACGGCATTGCCGTTTTGAATTGCGTTTTGAATTGCGTTTTGAATTGCGTTTTGAATTGCGTTTTGAATTGCGTTTTGAATTGCGTTTTGAATTGCGTTTTGAATTGCGTTTTGCATTGCTTTTTTGGATTGCTTTGTGTGCTTTTTTGAATTGTTTTTTTGAATTGCGTTTTGCATTGCTTTTTGGATTGCGTTTTGTTTTTGAATTGCGTTTTTGGATTGCGTTTTTGATTTATATTGGTCAATTGACCCAAAAAAAAAAAACAAAAAAGAAGAATGAAGAAAGAAAATTGAAGAAAATGAAGGAAAAAATGGGGTTGTTGCGATGTTTCTGGTGACATTTTTTGTTTACGGCAATGCCGTTTTGATTTGCGTTTTGATTTGCGTTTTGATTTGCTTTTTGGATTGCGTTTTGCATTGCGTTTTTGATTTATTTGGTCAATTGACCCAAAAAAAAAAGACCAGAAAATGGAGGAAAAAAAGCCGGTTAACGGTGTTTCAAGGGTTTCTATTTTGGTGGACTTGCTTTTGGGGATTTTGATGTCTGCATTCAATTTGTTGTTGCTCGCGTTGCTTATATTATTGGTGAAACCAAATAATAAAAAAAAGAAGCTTATGCTTCGAAATGATGTGCAAATTGTAGAAAAAGTAGAAAAAAACAAGCCCTAAATGAATTGTTTGAATAAACACGCTCAAACATAGTACATACAATATAGAGACGAAACTAATCTTCCCTAACAATCAGACTATCAGACTTAACGGGAGTCGTAAACCGAATAAAGAACGCTAGGTAGCGTGTTGGCACGACTCTAGTTACTATTGATAGTGAGTAGGACGGATATAGTAGGAAAAATTAGAGTTATATAGGTTCGTAGGGTAGTGGGATAAAGCTCGTGAAGTAAACTGTATAGACTAAAGACCGAAGAATGGTGGAATTCTATCCTACCAATATACTGCCTACTAGTTTTACAATCGCTCTATGGGCTCTACTCTATAGGTTTTGCCGCATGAGCTTTATCCCGCTATCCTATGACCCTATATAACTCTAATTCTTCCTACTATATTCATCGGTAGACTTATAGTAGTATAAAATCAGAGAAGATTTGCAGTATCGCCTTCTTGAGAGCCCTGATCCTAGGACTGGTGTAGCTGCCTTCATCGGCCGTAGAAACTATGGCAGCTATGATAGCCCAAGAGCCAAAAAGCGAGAGTAACTGCATCTTTTACCAAGTCAAAAAATAATGAATTATTTGCTGGTCAATTTGGTTGGTAGGTTTGTGATGCTCTGAAAAACTTCGAGACTAACAGCTTCCTTTTACAATGATGATTCGATTCCAAACGAACCAAGCAAGATTCAAGTGATCGTGTCTCTGCACAGTGATTACTCTTCATTGGCAAATTATTATATTATATTATATCTTTTTTTTTTTTGGCTGTCTTATTGCATCGGACATGGTTGGTGGAATGGTTTGCATTTACTACAGACACTATGCATAATTCAATATCTAAGACAATAGGACCATACGATAGAATTGCTGCACCCTCCTCCCGTGTGAGAATTGGAAAGGATCATCTTCCTCATGTCCCACGTTATAGTATACTAAGTATTTGAATCACTGTTTGTTCCGCGTGTTATCTCTACAACTTAATATTCCTAAATACGTGCCGCACGTTGCCTGCAGTCTGAAACGGACCCAACATCGGACCTTCGTATTCCCTGACGCTTAGGGATTGGAAGACCAACCTTACTAGCCCAGAGACACCGATACTTAAAGGTCCTAGCTTAGTATACCTATACTTCAGGCAGTGTTATGTGATCTTTATGTGCAAAATAATAAAATCCTCTCGGGCAGCCCTGACCTCGTTGTGGTTTCGAATGCTCCTCCAAAGACCGTAAATCATGGAGTCAACAAGTCAGATTTGGTTTTGAGTCGGTCAGTAAAACCGAATGAGGAGTATCAGAATGGTTTTTTTTGGGAAAAAAATTAAACCCTGAAATATGATTTAAATCTTAACTATGACAGGCACCAGACCAATGGGGACAGCAGACTCCAGATGGATGGTGCCATGGAAGCGGTTTCCAGCGGCCTCGCCATGTCAACTAATACAAGTGTATATTATCATAGGCGTGTTAGACTCCACAGAGTGATGATAAAATTATTTCCCTCATAGACTCTCAAACATATTAGCAGGGTAACCGAGATTTTATATACATTTCCCACCAACCCCCACCAAACGGATAGCGGCATATACCGTGTAACCATTCCTAAAGGTTATCAGGGTCTTTCTACTCCCAAACTTCCCAACTTCTTAAATCAAACAGGACTCTTCGCTGCCTTCTCCTCTTGCAAATCTTGCAAGGAAACATCGACAGGCGTCAGCACCGGAACAGCAGCCACCGCAGGTTTCGGCGGTGCAGGCGCGATCCAAAACGCCGGATACCGACGATGCAAATTATTCAACAGCAACGCACACACCAGAAGCATAACAGAAGACAACAGAACTACAGGCAAGTAGTACCAAGAAAGCCGCCAAATCTCCTCACTAGTAGCCGGCAGCAAAGCAGTGGCACCAGCAGGCGGGTGGGTCGTACCCGTCAACTGCATAACGACAATAGCAATAGCCGTCGAAAGCGAAGCAGCCAGCCAACGCAGGGAGTCGAAGCGCGCCTGGTCGGGCATCAAACTAAACAATTTAGTAATGCAGACGCCGATCAAGGCGCTGAAGAAGTGGCCGAAGACTAGAGCGCGTGGTTGTGCTAGGGGACTTTCAATTGCGCCGAATACGAGGACGGCGGATGCACCCTGTTTTGGATATTGAGTATGAGTCAAATGTAGATATTTGGGGGAATGCGATTTTGGGCTATTTGACAACATTGAACTTACGTAGGATGCAATTATACCCGGTACATTGCGTTCGGTGAAGTAGTCGGAGTAATTGAAAATTGCTTGGACGACTGAGAGACCACAGAATGAGGTTATGAAGGACCATAGAGCGACCTCGTATTTAGAGAGTGGCTTCACGGCTTCTGGGCGATAGCCAAGCCAGTGGCTAATCCACCGGGGAAGACGGGCGAGGCGGGGAGTGGCCATTTGGGACACCGCACCACAGGTTTTGAAGATTAGAATTATTGTTGGCTTATACAGGAGATCAAAGAGAAGAAAATAAAATATTGCCTGACATTCAAAGGATCCAGAGGCGCTAGAATGGTTTGGGGAATTGGAGAAAGAAAAAAAGAAATTGGAGAAAACCGGCCGTGCGGAGGAATGTGAGGAGATCCAATTTTTATGACACATCGCTGTAAGCACATAGTAAAAGTAGAACACATCATTACAATATACATTTTAACTCTTATACATACGGTTCCTTCAATAGATCACGACTGACGATGTGGGACTCGCCCAATGTGCCCTTCATTACGAGCACCAAGTCATCCACGGTGGCCAGGAATTTGAGGTATGCGCTGATGGCGACGCAGAACCGACGGTAGTCCTCGTCGCGAATTAAATCTTTGCTTAGCATGATATCCACGTTGCGCGACATCCAATAATCGTGGCAACGGTTCAGGAGTGGCGTTGGCAGCACCTCGGGCAGAGGGTCACCCGTCTTGAGTGATTGTTCAACCACACCCAGAACAGCCATGACGTCGCCGATATTGTGGTGGTCAAGGAGACCGGCTTGACGAGCTAGGCGACTTTGTAGATGTTCTGGCAGCGAAGCTGATAGGTAAAGTAGGCGAGCGATGTTCTGGTTGAGTTCTTGGCATAGTGATTTGACCTGACCGAGACGGTCGCTGTCAAATGGCGAGCTGGAGAATTCGAAGCGTAGCAACGCGATGGGTCCGTCCAGTGCGGCGAGGGTCTCGGCGAGGTTAAGAGCCAGCTTCTCTGCGGCTAGACCTTCTTCGCGTTCCTGTCCCCAGCAGGATAAGAGAAGCGCGTAGTGGTCCGACAGTAAGCGGATGACATTTGAAAGGGACTTGCAGACGTGTCCTGATGCAGACGGTGGGCGAGGGAACAGCTGCACGATCAGTGCCGCTGCAGACCCGATAAGAACAAGCAAAAGTCGTCGCCAGAAAACATCATAACCCCAACCAGGATTGCCGTAAGTCGGGATGTGCCTAGGAAGTGTGTCAGTAATGTTGCTTCTCGAAATGCGTGCAATTTACTTACGTATCCTCAAAACTGTAACCAACAACCAGAATGCAGGTCGCACCAGCCATAATCAGAGCTTGAAGCATAGCAGGCGGGGCGAAGATACGCCCCCACATGAGAATCGTGAGCACAACAGCCATGATAGCAGCAAGACCATACGGGTTACCTTCACCATGGCCTGAGCCGATGTACCACGCAACTAAGCCAAGAAGACCGCCAACAATGGTACCAATAGCTCGACAAATAAGGGAGAAAGTGAAGTCGGCCATGTAAATGACCAGTGTGGTCTGTCCCATGATGAGGGCCCAGAGACCTTTCTCACGGTAATAGAAACCCGCGGTGTGAGGAATCGCAGCAGGGATAGCGAGTGCGATTGTGACAACCACCATGCGCAGAGCATAAAGACCTTCCGGATTGATGAACCAATGATAGGTGCCGATGATAGCGCGCCCGAAGCCGCTGCCTCGCTTGGCACGATATCCTCTACTGATGCGAAGATGCTGCTGTGCCGCTTTGGACTGCGTCTCTGCGGTGTCAGGGTCGATGATTGGGTTATGAGCCGCAGTTACAGGCGCCACGACATTTTTGCGACGAAACCAGTTGACTGCATATCGCAAGCCCTTGGGTAGCCACAGACGGACTTTTTGGCGTTCTTTCAGGAGAGCGACCAGTTGTCCAAGGACCCGCTCCCACCCATCGGCGACGCCGAGCACCTGCTCTTCGAAGATCATTCCCATAGTGATACCCCTAACTCTGGGTAATGAATTTTCGTCAAGGGTCTTGAGCATGCCTTTTTCGTCGAATATCTCTGCATGTGTTTGAATCAAACGCTCGGTGGTTTCCGTTGCAAACGATGCGCGCAGGCCCTGAAGATTATTCAGTGCAGTCTGGCTACGCTCGTGCAACTTATCGAGGCGTTCCTTGGAAGGGCGACCAAACCAACGCTTGTTAACCGTGTTAATTGATTCTGCAATGATCTCAACAGCTTCCTGGCAAGCCGGGAGGATATCCTTGCTGGACTCGCGCAATACCTCGATAGTTTCCGATCGCATAGACTCATGTTCCGGGCTTCGCAGTGCTTGGACCAAATTAACACTCTCCATCAGCTGGCGCATGCCAACCTCGCGTGAACGCTTTTTCTCATTCCCGCTAGCTTGGGAATCAGAGTCTGAATCCCGATCCACAGTGAGCTGGTGCAACTTTTCTAGCTTCGCGTGTCCCCCGACGCGGGCGATATGAACTTCCAGGAGGGACAGACTGCTTATCAAAGCTTGGCGTATCGGTTTCTTCATACTTTTGACATCTTCCGCACCCCACCAACCGACAGAGAAGTCTAGTGGCAGAAATCCAATGGCCGGTTTGAGTTGCTTGTAAGCAGCAATGCTCTTCACCTTGATAGTTTGCAGATCTGCCATAGCCAATGCTTCACCTTTTAGAAGACTGTTCTCCGTGGCGTCCAAAGGTCCTTTGAGTAGCCGAACTAGCCCCTCCATGCCATCAAGCACGACATGGGAGGTAGACCGAGGAAAGAAGAAAAAATGGGAGACCAGGCCCAACCCAATTCCAATGGCGGCAGGTTCAACCAAGACCTTGGGGACAGTACCGCTGAACGATGGAAGCAGCGGGCCAATAGTCAGGGAAACATCGACGATGATGATTCCGAAAATCTGCATCAAAATGAATTTGGGGTTCTTAGCCCGAAGACGGGACTGCGCGAAAGGGTTAGTTTCTATTTGAGAATTATGCCCATATCAAGAAAAACTCACGAGTAAATAGATGAACAAACAGATTAAACAATAATACACAACTGTTACACGAGTGTCAAGCATCCAGCCTGTGTAGACAAGCTGTTGCTGGACAGCTGCCACGGGCTGTCCGGTGGAATTGGCCTGGCTGTATGCGGCCTGTCCTAGGGCTTGAAGCTTAGCCTGGGTCTCAGCCGCGGGTCTTGCGGCCATAGCAGCCTTCATGGCGATGACACCCCAGGCCCAGCCCAAAGCCATACCCAGGACGAGGGTCAGAGTTCCTAAAAGGAAAATGAAGACAATGCCGGTCGGAGGCACCATGAAGAGTACCAAACTGATTGCAATATAATTAGCAATTAATACCGAGAGGAGAGATATAGATGCGCTCACGTTGCAAAAAAAGTCGCACTACCAATGACGCTTAGGGACGGCGTGATGAAGATCAACAGCGACGCGACCCACGCAGCTAGTGAGCAACGAAACAATACCTTAAGATCACGGGCATTGAAGTGATCCAGCCATCCAGGCAGCTTTCTACCGGCCTTGGGCGCAGGCGCTGCCTTCACAGGCGATGGAGACCCCTCCCCATTAGAGGAAAGCGGGGACGCTTCCGGCTGGACATCCCGCTGAGAAGATTCGATTTCAGTCATTCCAACATGAACAATGTAAATGAGATTTATCGGGAGGATGAAGCAGTTGAGAATCTAAGGGGATAGATATGATCGGGCATTCCTTCCGATAAAAGGGGAGAGAATGAGGGGACAGTTTAAGATTTTACCGTTCCCGTTCTCCGGACAAAAAGAAAAGAGAACGATCGGCGTTAATTGACAGGAGTATTTAATAATAACAATTCCTAGGATATTTAACTATTTAATAGATAAATAGATAGAATCTTTCCCATGTGATGACCGACGTCTAGCCTGCTCTTATTGTCTTAGATCGGCATTAAATCCTACATTAACCCTTATGCTCACGCACTAGGAGGAAAACTTGGCGCTTGGCAGCCCGTGGGATATGATAAAATCCAAATCTTACCTAGGTAGTATATGCAGTTTGTTTCAGTCCGTAGGGCTAATACGTAAATTTAAGAGTATTTTAGGAGATTAGTATAATATCAGTATAGTATCAGTATAGTATCAGTATAGTATCAGTATAGTATCAGTATAGTATCAGTATAGTATCAGTATAATATCAGTATAGTATCAGTATAGTATCAGTATAATATCAGTTTAATATCAGTATAATATCAGTATAATATCAGGTTCATCTGGCACTATTGAACGGCCTTACCGGATTAGGCTTGTGTGAAGCCGAAAGGGGGCAAAAGGAAGTTGGGCCTAGGACCCCTATTATTGGGCAGGGAACAAATTTACGATCTATGGAACTGCAGAACTTCAGGAACAAAATCTATATTGTGGCTTGATAATTGAGGTGTCAATCTTTCATTTCAGCATCTCTTCGATATAAACCAGATGTTCTTTGATTTTTAAATACCCCCTGTCCAACGATGATTCAAACTTGATCATCCCACCATGATCAGCCTGAATAAAAACATGGGACGAATTCTCCTGTGGTGAGAACGACATAGTCTTGTTCAGGCATGGTGTAAGCAAATAGTCCACGACTGGTTGTAGATAATCCCCTTACCTGGTCCAGTGTACTATTTGTTGGGAGAGAGTCGAGCATTTCATGAACAAATAAAGTCCAAAACTGTTGACTGATCGATGGGTAGCCCTGTAATGTAGTCGCTAACCAGTGTGCTTCCTTATAGATATCGCTAGACTCCTGCTCGGATCCTTTAGCACCAGATAAGTAGCTTTGCAGTCCACTGAGCCTTGAGTCTAGCTCAGGTGTTCCCATGTAGATCGCTCCGCGAGTTGAGAGTCTGACGCTGCGAATGTCCGTAGTAGAAGATTCCTGTGTCGAGTCGGCATAAAGCAGGGCCTGGCGATAGTCAATGACAACTCTCTTTATGTATTTCTGTATAAAATGGCAAGGCTTACACTTTTGACTATAGGTCCCCCAAGGCTATGTGCAATGAATATAATCGGACGATTGACCGTCTGTGTTGCCTCTATCAGTACTAATTCTTATTTCCTTGTTGGGTCAGTTGAGTTTGTACATTTGTTGACGATCTTATTTCCCACAAGTCATAGACTAGTTGCTCAGATATCTTTTGCTGGGATATTGTCTGGGAGTTTCCCACGGCGTTCAAACTATAGCCCCAGGAAAGGACTCGAGTGTTGGGCATATTACCTGGCAGCAGATCACGGAGCCAGTTTACCCCATTGGCTGCCGTCCATGAATTTTCGCGGTGGCCATTCAGTCCATGAACAGCGATAATACTGCGTCAATTATTAATTATCGAAATGGTTGGTTGAGACAGATTGTACAAACTCGACTTTTGGAGTTGGCCCGTCATATAGCAACTTCAATCCAGTCTCCTCATCTTGTGGAAGTGAAGACTGTAGGTACTCTTAGCATATCGACAAAACAGGATGTAGCCATCCTGTTATCGTGGGTTCTTACTGTCTTTGCGATCTTTGGTCGGCCTTTGAACGGAAAACACCACGGCCACGGCATGACGAACAGCAAAGATGTTTAAGGTGCGGGGTAAAATATGACTAGGGAAAAACGATACCAAACCGGCTCTCGGTGCAGGGCTAAGGTCGTAGGGTGAAGATCGCGGGGAATACAAAAATTAAACTATGCTGGTCTATTGAGTACTAGCACGACGTCAAACCCCCAATATATAGTGGAGGATCGGCTATATATCCGCCCTGGGACGTTAACGCTGCTACTGGCCACAGCACTATTCGATTCAGACATTGATGCCTAAGGCAATAATTATTGCCTAATATTTCAGGCGTAAAGCTTGAATTCTTCGATCTACCGTGGACGTGTCCGGCGCCTCACGTGGCATTCTTCCAGATGCATCCATTTTTCATCGCCTCTCTAGGCATTCGAACTTTGGAAAAAACTCAATCTACCAGCCGTTATACCTACTAGCCATATGTCAATGAGCCTTGGAACACCGTGAAATCAACAAATCAATATTTTCTTATCTATTTGCCTCCGATCGGCCCGATCGGCCTCATCGCGATGATGGCAAAGAGGAAAAAGTTAGTCAATCGCCTCCCATAAAAGTGGAGAGCGACCGAACCCCGAGCAATGAAACCCAATGAGCCTCTCCACTGTGGAGAACAACCGTCGTGAGTGGAAGCCCCAATGTCGTGCTTGGACGCGACTGAATAATATTTCGGGAGGAAAAAAAGCTGTTTCCCACATAAGCACTTTGATCCCTTCTCAAGTCCCCGGGGTATAATATACGGGGAAAGACTCGGCCTGGATGATGGGCATCACACATGGCAACATGGACAAGTCCAGCTTTAACGACGGAAAAGTCCAGCCGGCTCCTGGCACGGATTTCGAAGACTTCGGTTCGGATCCCAAGGGCGAGTATGAGCTCAATGTTGGCGGCCGTGCGGCCTTGCAGCGACGCCTGCGCAATTACCAGGTTACCATGATTGGTTTCTGCAGTGGTATTGGCACTGGTTTGTTTGTGGGAACTGGCGCTGCCTACGCCAAAGCTGGCCCTGCTGGTTTGCTGCTCGCATATATTATTGTGGGAGGAGTTTTGTGGTGTGTCATGCAAAGTATCGCCGAACTCGCAACGCTTTTCCCGACTGCTGGATCCTTCCCCCACTGGGCGACTCGATTTATAGACCCGTCTGTTGGTTTCTCCCTCGCTATTTCATACGGATACTGTTACACAATCGCTATCGCCTCGGAAGTTTCGGCGGCCGCCGTTATTGTGTCATATTGGACGGATATCACGCCTGCTGTGGTAATCACCGTTGGATTGGTACTCATTTTAGCTATCAATTTGATGAGTGTGCGATTCTATGGTGAAACCGAAGTCTTTGGAGGTGCCGTCAAGGTCCTTTGCTTCCTCGGCTTGGTTGTTGTCTCCATTGTCATCACTGCAGGCGGCGGTCCCCACGGCGATGCCATTGGATTCCGCTACTGGAATAACCCTGGACCGTGGACAAACTTCAACGGTATCACCGGTCCGACCGGCCACTTCCTCGGCTTCCTCTCCTCCTTCGTCAATGCCTCGTTCAGCTTCATTGGTGTCGAGACCGTTGTCATCACCGCATCCGAATCCGTTGATCCCCACCGTGCCATTCCCAAGGCCGCCCGCCGTGTGACCTACCGCATCGCTTTCTTCTACATTCTCGGAGCGCTTCTCATCGGTATGATCGTCGACCCAAGAGCCACAGGCCTCGTTTCCGGTTCTGGCAACGCGAACAGCTCGCCTTTTGTGATTGCCATCACCAACGCCGGCATCAACGCTCTACCCTCTATCGTAAATGCATGCATCCTCATCGCCGCGTGGTCTGCCGGTAACTCATACTGCTGGGTTGGATCGCGCATGATTGTCGCCATGACTACAGACCACCAGCTTCCCCAGATCTTCGGACGTGTGAACAAGAATGGTGTACCATACGTGGCTGTCTTTGCCGCCTGGCTATTTGGGCCGCTCGCGTACCTGAGTCTCGGCAGCGGTGGTGCAGCGCAGGCATTCACATGGCTTCTGAACCTGAGTACGGTTGCCGGCTTGATTGCTTGGGCAACCCTTTGCGTCTGCTATATTCGTTTCTATGCCGCAATGAAGAGACAAAATGTGAGCCGAGACACCCTCCCATGGCAGGCACCCTTTCAACCTTATGCCGCGTGGGTGGGCTTTATCGGTTCCGTTATTATCACTTTGGTTGCTGGTTTCCCCGTGTTTTTGAAGGGTAACTGGGATACGTCGAGCTTTATTGCGTCGTACATCGGTATCCCCATTTTCATTGTTCCCATCATTTGCTGGAAACTCTGGCATCGCACCAAGGTTAGTTTAACACCTCTTATTCATTCTGCTTTTTCGCGAAGAGTTGCTAACATTTCAATTCATAGTTTGAGCGTGCTGCCAATATCGACTTATGGTCGGGCCGCCTCCTAGATGGGGAGATCCAGCCAGTTGAAAACCCGCATAATAACTGGTGGACCAAGTTCACCGACTGGCTGTTTTAAATGACTCTTATAATGATGTGTAAATATTTGCATGCCAGACTGGCTATTCAACATTAGCGATGTACAATTTTTTATTCTGCAATTTGCATTCCAAACTTCATTCATAAATGTGTGTCCCGCGCTCATAAGTTATTGACTCTGAAATTGTTGTCCAAGTTTCTTGATATCATGGTGGGAAGCTTTGCAGCACCCGCCCACAAGGAACGACTTGAAATGGCCCTTTTCGTAGGCTTCATTGACCACTTGGGCCAACTGTTCCTCCCAAGGTCGCTAAATTCCACGTCAGCATAAATATCATTTTCCCAAGGTTCCCACTTGAAAGTAGTACTTACGTTAGCACTCACATTATCACCCAAAGCATCGTTTTTCTCCCAGATCTGCGTCGTAGTATTGTATACCTCCCCATTCGTCCCATCAGGATACAAAACCAAGCTCGGCACAGCAGATATCCGACCCTCGGAAACAGCCCCCGCAACTGCACGACCAAACAAATCAACAAGCCCAGCAAGCTTATGCATCTTAGTACAATTGATCCCAACTCCCCAGGGAACAACCCCACCCTCCATAGGCGCAAAAGCAGCCCGCACAACCTCCTCCACCGAGCTGCCATCAGGCAAGAGATCATCATCGCGCGGGAAAACACAAGCAATCCAAAACGGCACATCGAAAGCAGAATCCCGAATCGCCCTCCTCACAGCTCGAACCTCGTCAAGCCGCGGCAGCGTCTCAAACGCAACATACCGCACACGCGACACAAGCTCCCCATCCGCCTCAGCAAACATGCGCAACCGATCCAAGTGCCACAAATACAATGATTGCTCGGAGTCGTGTTCGGCATCGTATGCGCCGCTATACTCCTGACCTGGGATCATGCATGCACCGTAAGGTCCAAGACTGAGAGCGACGCTTGCGCTCTCGCGCACTTTCGCTTGTTCGGCGATGTCCACGGCCTTCTGCAGGAAGGGCCCTGCTGCGCTGCGTGGGATCCCATTTGGGAATTGGGTCGTTTTTGTCCGCGCAAACCCCTCAGCGGAGACTTGGTAGGTTGCTGTTAGGAGAATGTCTACTCCGGCAACGCCGAAGTCGCGTTGGCATGCTTGTAGCGTTGCTGGGTCGCTCACTAGCAGGTGTGAGGCCCAGAGTGGGGTTGTTGTGGAATCGAATTTGATGTTGTATAGGTCGCCCAGGGAGGTGCCAAGGCCTCCGTCTAGGATCTGGATTGTTGCCATTATGTGTATTTGGAGGTTTAGGTGGTTTATCGAGGGTAAGTGGGGGTTTTGCTGTTTGATGCAGTCCTAAACGGGCCGAGTTGCTCGGGGTTACATAATCGGTCGTTTTTGGGCCGGCCTCGGGGGTATCAAGGTCTGAAGAGTGGAGATTGGACAAGAATTGACTGTATGCTCAGATCCCGGGAATTTGTGTCTTTCTCATGGCGTAGAAGATATTTTCTGAAGTGTTCATGGACTACATTAGTAGCCGATCCATCCATCTCTATGCATCGTAGATCAGCCTCTCGCAGAACTTGATATCCAAACCAGGCATTGTTCGTTCTTTATTCCTTCAAGTATATTATATTTGTCCGAGCTGATTATAACATATACGTTGTTATAAGCCAAATATAATACATAGTAGGCGGGCAACATGATATTAAATGATACACACGCAATATGCCACTTACTCTTCTTCACACATGGGCCCATCCATATCGATGCAGAATTTGCATCTCATTGATAATGCAAAGTTCTCCATTCTCTTCGTTCCCAATGCTCAAGGCTCTCCATTTATTTACCCGTCTTCGAACAACTTCTTCTTTCAACCACGAAGTGACGCCTAAACGGCGCAGTCGATTAACCCACAACCCTTGTATAATCCGTTTCACAGAGAGCCAGTTCATCATCGGATGAATAGCTGCATATGCAGCACCGCTATAGCCCACTCTCACCAAAGGGTTCAAGTAAACACCCTTTTCCACTGATAGTGGGTTATCTGTGTGTATGAGACAGCATTCGGAGCCTTCAAGATGATACTTCGCCAGTGAATCGGGGATACCTCGGAAGCGAAGCGGGGAACTCGCGATGAATGGACTTGCGGACATCGCCACTAGAGATATGTTAGTTTATGCAACGCTTTCTGCAATGGATGCCAGCATACCCATGCCATTCCAGCAACTTGTCACAGGAACAGGAGACATGTTTTTCATTGCACGTCGTGATGCCGCAGAGCTGAAATAGGGCCACGTTTGCATGATGGGTTCATGGCCCTTGATATCCCGGAGAGCAAATGTGTCATAGTAATTCGGAGGCTTGGAGAAATCCAAGGCGCAGGCAGCAGCGTATTCGCCACGATTGGTATGTATAAGTTCGAGGACGTCGTTCGGCTAATCAACAAAAGAAGGCCTTGGTTAGAATGTATATTCGACAAAAGGGAAGATGATTCAAACAAACCGTAAATACGACGTCGTTCAGAAATAGGATTTTATCAAACGTGATACCCTGCCGTGCAAGATCCTGCAGCGGCAGCAAGCTCAAGTTCCTTATCCGGGCTAGATACGGCACTCGTCTGAGTTGTTTCTTCCCATCTGGAGTGCTAATCCAGCCTTCACCCCTTGCGGATGCGGCAAGTTCATCTTCATGTGTCACTGGTGACAATGTGATATTCCGTGGTATTCGCATTCGCTCGAGTTCCCAATCCAGCTCCCTCAACGCGTCTTTCGTGTTATCATAGCTCCCGCTTTCGTATATGCTGACGAACACATTTTCCGGACCAAGCTTCAAGACCAGCTCTGTGAGTGCCTTGCTCCAGTGATTGCGTAGAATGAGCCCATTGTTCCAATTGATGCTTGCAATATATATTCTTTCTTGCTTTTGCGGTCGGTGTCGGAGAACAGTGTGATCAACTTCGTAAAGTCGGTGCTGAATCAGATGTATTTCGGCCAGATTCCATATTGCGAAGATTATAACCAGAGCTCGGGCGATGCGGTACCGGAGGACTCCTCGGGAAACGGACAAAATCGTCATGGAAATTGAGGGAGCTGGGAGACTAGCGGTTTGGTGTCAACGTAGGGGTCGAGTGCGATGTGCGCGAATCTAATCTTCCTGACATACTTGACTGAAGTTGTGGGAGGAACCAACCCTTGATAGAGAATATTGGGCGTTTCCAGGGCAGAGCGAGGTAGCCAAGGGATATTCCGAAATGAACATAAGAATGTACCTGAGGTATACTTCTTTCCCAAAGTATAGATATCCGCGATGATCATTAACGGAAGGAGTAAAAACTTTATACGCCGATCGGCCATAAATTAATCGTGAGATCCATATAATACAGTTGGTCGCACGGGAAGTATATAAATGGTTGTTTTCTATATTAATTTTAACAAGACAAAAGAATTATAACAAGCAGTATACAAGCAGTACACAAGGGATGAGACACACTATGTTAAAGGAGTGAGTCTCAACTCAGGAAATGCAAAATAGCCGTAGCAGCAATCGCAATGCCAGCTACTCTCGTGAAGCCCGAATGACCCCGATTACCTGCCCCCGTTTGAGTCACGTCGGTACTCGACGCCGTCGTACTAACTCCACCCTCAACCCAGGGCTGCCCAGGCAGCGAATCCGAGCTCTCACCGATCTCCACCGCGCTAGAAAGCTTGTTTTCCAGCAAATCGCAGTCGATCCGATCATCACTCTTGGGCACACTGTTGGTGACAGAGATCGGCAGGTCAAAGACAGTATAATAGTCAGTCCCATTCCAGAGGAAAGATTGGTGCATGGAGATATTGTATGCGCCACGCGCCGAGTTCTTTGAGCCAGAGCCGTCTCCCACGAGGCATTCGGGCCAAATCCAATTCACATGTTTGACGGTGGATGAGGGCTCTAGATCCAAGACGGGACCGACGTAGCTTGTGTTAGACGCGGGCTTTGTGCCGTTTGAGATGGTGAAGTTGTGTGACTCGGAGGTTAAGAAGAGTGTGATATCGTGGAAGCGGGTTGACCAGTCGGGTTGAGTTGATGCGGGCCATGGTAGTTTGCCATTACCGGACACGTCGATCGCGACTTGTAGGTTGTCTAAGAAATTAGTATGTGGTTGATATATTTTTGGCGCATAGACTTGCCTCCTCCGAGTGGTGTGTTCGGCTGTGGGGAATCGACAATTGCCAGGCCTGGCGTGTAGACTTGGCCATTGACAATGGTGAAGTTGACCATTATTCCGAGCTTATTGATTTGATCGAAGTCGGATGTTATTCTATTTACATAAACACAGGCTGCGCTGTTATATTCTTCTTATTCTTTTTACGCCAAGGGGCTCATTTCCGACAACTCCGCCATTATCCTTAGCGTATTGAGAGTAATTTCATCTCTTCAAGTCATTGGTCTGAATATGACCGTTAAGCCCTCATTTAGTCCTAGGTCTCTCATTTTTATTTCTCGGTATTAATCACAGTCAATAGGGGTACATGTACATGGCATATTTGACCTCTGCTGACTTCAAATCAATATTTGTTAGGACATAATCGTCTCTTCCTCAATGCCCCATAATTATAGACAATGCGATTGATTTACCATCATTCAATGTATTTGTAGGGAATTGATAGAGGGACCCCCTTTGGATACTGGCACTGTCTGGTTTTCCGGTACCGCCTTCTTAATTGGGTGCGACACTGGATTCTGCCATGCTTTCTGCCAGTGCAGAGTTTTCTGCCATATATTCTGCCACCCCCATATAATTCTGGTTTACATAGTAAAAAATACTGCATTTTGATCAGAAAAAGTCGTACATTCATTGATTTCTGTGTTGATCTACCCTACAAATTGACCATGATACTGATTTTCACGTCCTCGACCCCGTGGCCTTCCTCGTCCTCGTCCTCGTCCTCGGTTCTCCTTACAACGAAGGATCTCGATATATGAAACGATCCTACGTGAGAGGATTAAGGGAAGACTACGGTTGCTAGGTGCTTGCCTAGGTGCTAGCCTAGGTGCAGATACTGATAGAAAAATGGGTTGGAAGAAGGTAGGTTAATGTTAATTTGTATGATTTAGTCTATGGGACAAGAGTGACTTAGTTTTGTATAGGGTTTACATACAAATTATTGGTATCTGCTGTCTTATCTTATTATGTGGGGTAGTTTGACACGAAGACGGTGGGGAGGTGGGCAGATATAGGTGTCGAGGTGAACTACTAAATTAGGAAAGCGGTGGGGAGGTGGGCAGATACAGGTGTCGAGGTGAACTACTAAATTAGGAAAGCGGTGGGGAGGTGGGCAGATACAGGTGTCGAGGTGAACTACTAAATTAGGAAAGCGGTGGGGAGGTGAGCAGGGAAAGGTGTCGAGGTGAACTAACAAATTAGGAAAGCGGTGACTGGAAAATCAGGCAAGGGGGTGTCCCTGTATCAGTATCCAAAGGGGGTGTCCCTCTATCAATTCCCTATTTGTATAGTAACTCGGTAATGCATAACATCTTATACATTAACCATGATAATACGAAACAAGGGGTATGTAGGTACTAAGAACAATATGAACTCACAAACAGCGCGAGTATATAGTACCTTTGGTGGATATATATATTTGAAGAGAGATTGACATCTCTACCCTCACTTTACTTGTTATGTATGTATTCTGCCATTATTTCTTGTTCTTTTCTCCCTATTTATCTTAACTCAACATCTAAGTTATCTAGACTAGAAGACTACCTAGAAGACTACCAATATTAATCGATTTTCTAGTCATATGGACCCTGGGGCTATGATTACTTCGTTATCCGAGAAGGATCTGCGAGATACCAAGAGAGGGAAGATGAGGATGAGGATGACTTAAATGCGCATAATAGCTACTTCAGATCGTGTGTCGTTGTCTGTATGGTGTCCATTCGCACATCAGCTCATTTCTCATCTCCACTTTCCCATGCACATTGGCCAAGGTTGGGTACCCATGAGAGAGAATAGGCTTTAATTCGGCTGGTCGGATTGGCGCTCTAGCAGATGTGGCTCGGATATACCGGATTCAAGTTCAGAAGTTACTCGGTTGGTTCCATCACAATTTACAGGAAAAGATGCGCAAAAAAAAAAAAAAAAAAAAAAACATAAGCATAACAGAACACAAAGGTATCAGGCAAAAAACATATTAGACGCGACCAAAGAAACAGTAGCGAACAGACTTTTCCAGAAAATAGACATGGAATAACAACCGGAGTGGTCACCAAAACCAAGAATAAAGAGAATAAATATCATTTCTTGTCACCCCAAAGACCAACAATGCCGATCGAAAGCGCAATACCAGACAACCAAGTGCGTGCTCGATGGAGCCGGCGCTCCCGGTCCATCTCAAGCTGAACGGTTTCGCCGTTCATGTCGTCCTGTGCCTCAACCACAACAAGGTCCTCATCCTTATTTATGTTGGAGTCCCGGACCAGGGAGAAGTGGGAAACGTCGCGGATCACAGCCGAGGCCCAGTTCTTGAAGCCGAGGTGACGGTTGAACCAGAAATCAACACCGTGGGCACTGATCGCAGAGAATGCCCACAGCCAGATCATGTATGGGTGTCGACGGCGTGGAGATGAGAGACACCATGCGAAACAGAAACAGGAATTGGTCAGGAAGGAGAGGCGTAGGGCATATCGGCGGGTTAGGCGCTTCACTTCGTTCAGGGAGCGGGCGGCGGTTGTCGCCGTTGGAAGTAGCTGTAGAGCTGGGATTGTAATAGATGATGTCGAGTAAGATAGGCCCTGTGGGTTTGAAAGGGGTTGTTAGCATTTGTTGATCATGTTTGTTGATCATGTTTTATGATGCGATAGATGCGATTGACGTACAGTAAGAAGACCGAGGGAGACAGTGCCAACAAACTTGCTAACGCTGATGGGGCAGGCCATGTCGCAGTAACTAAAGTCGATCGCTTGCCTCAGAGCGGTATTTGACGAGTATAACAGAATCTGGAATGAGTTGAGTGGAAGATTCACGTCAACAATGCAAAGAAGAGACGGTTCTTTTTTTTCGGTGACGTCGCGGACCGCCTACGCACCAGCCAATCAGAGGGCCACTGTTCTTCATCGCAATGGAGTCTACATCTTCTTCTTCTTTTACCGTAATAGAACATAACTAAATCGGCATCTATACATTGTACCTACATAACAGATAACCCGCCACTCGAAAAGACCTTTCTTAGTAGAGGACAAAGCAATGATATATGCTCGAGGACAACACCCGATTGGTAGCAACTTGTTAAGCCAATTAATGAAATTGAGGTGTTTTGAGTCCCAAAACATTACCTAACTACAACATAGCTAGTTGATAAATGTATCTTCCAAATCACATTTCTAGCTTTGGAATACTTCCTTTCCTTACAGGGCTTTCCAAGGTTCCTGACCTCGGGAGGTTGCATTTTTGTATTACTAATCCTTTTATGCACCAATCTAAATTCGAAATACATAAAGAATTGCATAAAAATGCATAAAACCTAGGAAGCCGAGGTCCAACTGTGGGGAAGCGGGTTTCATTAAACAACGACCCAACGACCTCCTGGACATCCCCAACTCCCCCACAATCTTTAACCCAATATCTCCAAGTAGGTGTATAGTAATCAGAATGCCCCTCCTCAAGACGGAATATTTGAGTGACTCCTGGAAGGATGGAATCTTCGGTAAGATCCATAGTCCATTGTCAACACTCAGTCACACTAACTTCTTGGTCCAGCAAATAAAGTGGTATTCTGCACAGGAGGTGCCGGCACTATCTGCAGTGCCCAGGTCCGGGCCTTAGTACACCTTGGTGCCAACGCCTGTATCATCGGCCGCAATGTAGAGAAGACCGAGCGTGTTGCCCAGGACATCGCGACAGCCCGACCGGGTGCCAAGGTGATTGGGATTGGTTCCGTGGACGTGCGCAAGCTCGAGAGTTTGCAGCAAGCAGTTGAGCGTTGTGTTAAGGAGCTTGGAGGGATTGACTTTGTCATGTATGTCGAAATATTAACATGATCCCGGTCTTCGATTTCCATACTAAGAGTATGTGACAGTGCTGGAGCGGCGGGTAACTTCCTCGCCTCGATCGAGCAACTCTCAGTCAATGCTTTCAAATCAGTCATGGATATTGACGTCTTGGGCTCTTATAACACCCTCAAGGCAACTCTTCCGTATCTAAGAGAGTCAGCAAGCAAACACAGAATGGACTCGAAGACTCGTGAGTGCACCACTCGGCGAATCCGACCATCTGTTTATCACTGACACTGACAACCCTCCAGTTCAACCATCGCCGATTGGAACCGGTGGAAGAATTATCTTCGTTAGTGCCACTATCCACTACCGGGGTATGCCCTTCCAGACCCATGTATCCGTTGCCAAAGCCGGTATCGATTCCTTGTCGAACAGCGTTGCGATCGAGTATGGTCCTCGCGGGATGACCTCCAACATCATTGCGCCTGGCCCTATCGCATCGACCGAAGTTAGTATAAGTCTCAGTGGTGTTCTTCCTGTGTCAGAAGCTGATTACCTCATTATTCATTAGGGCTTGGAACGTCTGCTGCCATCAGATGCCATGGAGGCATACACCAAAGCCCAGCCACTCGGCCGCTTTGGGCATGTTCGCGACATTGCCGACGCTACCGTGTATCTCTTCTCAGACACTGGAAGCTATGTTAGTGGTCAAACGCTTGTTGGTGAGTTGTCAGATAACACAAAAGAACATGGTGAGGGTTTCATACTGACGCATATCAGTGGATGGTGCAAACTGGCGCATGTCGGCAGGCGGTGCTTCCGGTGGGAGCCTGTCTTATCCGGACTTCTTGCTTTCGGGAGATGATGTACCCAACGTGACTGGCAAAAAATCTAAGCTTTGAGCAAATGAAACAATGTCTGAGACATGGTAATACACCACGGGGACCTCTGTATTTTGGATAAATTCTATAACTTATTACTACAGTCGATCTAGCAGATAGATATAGATCCTTAGGTTTTGGAACGAGACTTGCCCATCTGCCTATATTTCTTCCTTCTTCTTCCTGTTGTGGGGAATAGTATCCATGCTTTGTAGAAACCATTGAAGCTCCAAAGATATATTAATGCAGGGTTTCTTTATCGTCTCCTTTCTTGTCCCAACCCCAGGCTTGGATTATCGTCAAAGCCGCAGCATGAAAGCCAAAGATCCCCACATGTCCCTTGGACAAGATAGCGAGGGGTCCCAGGAAGTGCATACTGAGAAATTTGTCGGGCTTGAGTGAATTGCATGATTTAGTACAGTACCTTGGGGCAGGTACTGTAGGTATTCCTGGGGCAGGTACTGTAGGTATTCCTGGGGCATATTCGCCGCGATCATATACATGTCGATGCCACATTGGGTCAGAAGGTCTGTATACTACTGATTAGTTGTGTTTCTTGAGTGTTGTGGTCATAGAACCCGCCTGTTAAGTGACACTGTCTTGTCGCCCTGCACTCTTGGCCTATTCTCCGATATACCCAAGCTGGTTATGACCCATGCTAGCATTTCGAGCCATTGTTGCATCAACAAAGATGTTATTTCCTTGTAATCGAGCCTTGGCGTCAATAATAGCATGGCAATGGCCCTGACGGTCGACCAGTCTACCGTCCAATCTCGCCGTGTACTCAGCAATACCGAGCTGACATCAAGTTTTCGCCGAACATTGTCGCACTTCAGATTGTAGAGATGAGCAGACATATTGCGTAAAGCAAGTTGATAAAACTCGAGTTTATCTTTGCCTCATGGGTATGCTTTTGAACGCAATATTCCTTGCACGACGGGGTTTCCACCAACGATTCCATAAGGACGGTGTATCCTCCCGCATTGTCTGTTTCCCAGTTTTCCATCGTCAGATTCTGGAGTTGTGTAGCCATGGCTTCGGGGTTCTCGAGTGTGAAGGGGGCTGTAGAAAATGAATCCAGTGTCAGAAGCGCAGGCATCAACACTGGCCAGGTCAAATGTGGTACGAGCACAGGATTCACTACCTCACAAACACCGACTCGGAGACCTCGGGGCTTTAGAAAGGATTATTTGGAAAAGTTGAACTTGCTTCCAAAATCGGCATGGCCAATTCCGCAATGCGCTTGGCTTGCTTGTCAAGGACCCAGCCTGTACCCGTATCGTGTTCTTATCCGGGGTCTTTGTGAGACGGAGGAACTACCCCCACGAGCGGATCTGGGGAATATAATCTTCTGGTCAGCAATGAGTCCCTGTGTAGGAGGACAGAAACTCAACATATTCATGTTATCGAGCAGTGGAAACTCGTCAAAACGGGCAGATCGACACTTGACACTGAGTCGTCACTTCGGAGGGTAGAGCACCACAGAGAGGTCCGCGCTTTTGGTCAACGGCCATAATGACAGTAGCCACCACCATGACTGTATCCTAGACTATAGTAGATCTAATGACACGAAATACCTAAGTAGCCTAAGCTTTCATTCGACCATTGGAGAAAAGTCTATTCGGCAAGCCGAGTGCACTGACCTTCGGCAAGCCAAGCCGACGGCTATTCCCGAGGTCAGCCGCAACCACATGGCACAGACCTCAGATCTGCATGCATATCATTGAATAGCCATTGGGGATGGATGTCTACGTTAAATCTAGGCAGAAATACAATTGAATAGACATAGACAGAAGGTTATTGTAGATTGCATCATTGAAAGAGACATCCTATTCCTAGAAAAAGACCATTCAAGGGACCAAGGAGACAGGAGACACCCCATTGTTCTCTTTATTGGAGGTTGATTTCATAATAGCCATTGTTAGAGAAAGATATTGTCAGCAGGAAACAATGGGAGAGCCTATTGATTGGTGCAGGGGAAGGTTGTTGACCAATGGGGTCCCAGAGTCTCACGTTCACGTCGCGTGTCGAGGCCTATATCTTCTCCCCTTCTCTCCTGTCTCCTTCTTCTTCTTCTTCTTCTCTCCCCTCTCTCTTCTCCATACTCACAACTCTTCTTTCTCTGCTTTGTATCCCATCTGCAAAGAACCCTGAGACTCGTTTCGAAACATCTTGTTTCCTGTTAATCCCAATCACCTTTGCAAGTCTTGTCAACCATTTGTGACTGCTTGTCTCGTAGCAGTTCAGGTCCAGTACTTCGGTACCCGTGACAAGACCTGTTCCCATCACTTCTTTTTCTGTGTGAGACTCCCCACCCCTTTCCTTTTTTTTTCCTCTTATGGTCTCTAACCACTCCCAATGTAGCAACCATTGGCAGTTTCTCAAGTCTCCCAACCACTTAAGTTCTGTGTCACCTTTCTCTACTGTGAGTTCAGCTGCCTTTGAAAATAATTTTTCCAAGCATCATATCTAACCTGTTTCAAAGTTAAACATGGCACCCCAGCAGGGACCGCTCCGCCGTAACGGCGTCATTGACTTCGACTTGGCGCGCCCCCCGCCCCGGCCACTCCTCTGCCGCGGAATGGACTCATTCCGTTCCACACGGTGGATGCCCCCGTCCCCGCCCCGGCCACTCCTCTGCCGCGGAATGGACTCATTCCGTTCCACACGGTGGATGCCCCCGCCCCCGCTCCGAAAATTCCTCTGGCGCCAAAAGGACCTATTGGCTTCCCAAAGACGCCTGGTCCTTCTGGCACTGCCAATCCTCCGGCAATTCCCCTGCCGCGCAATGGACCAATTGACTTCAACATGATGCCTGGTCCCTCTTCTTCCACCAACCCTTCTTCTTCTCCTCTCATCAACCAGGGTCCTCCGCACAGGATCACCCCCCTGGTGGGCCCCGACACAGCCCCTTCTTCCTCCCGCAGCGTCCAAGGCAGTCAGAGCCAGCGCCAAATCAGCGCGCTAAACGCAAGACTAGCTGATGCCGAAGGCATCATCTCTCGCCAGGAGGGCGAGCTTGACCACGCCAAATCTCAGGCGTCGGCTCTGCGATCCCAAATGGCATCTGAACGACGCACCACCCGATTGCTTGATCAGCACGAGATGGAGGCCATGATCAAACAGTCAACCAAAAGCCAGTCCCAGAACATTGAGGCTCAGCTGAGGATCCTTGAAGACCAATTGGACCAGACAGCGGAGAACCTCGAATTGGCTGAGGGCAAGAAAAAGGCCCTCCTAGATTGCAAGCAGCAACTGGCCAAAGACCAGGCAGATTTGCGGGACTTGCGCCAGATAGTCGCCGCAGCAGAATACAATGTCCGACGACATGAACGCCTTACAGGTGCGGAAGACCGAGTCAAAGGCCTCCTCAAGAATATGGAGAATATGCTTGCCGCGGTCATGCAAGATACAAGGTTTAACCAGGCGCAGACTCGTGATGCACAGATTGCTGAGTCCTCTGCCAACCGTGTGGGTATTGCACCCCGCCATGTCGTGCGAAGCCAGGACCTAGGCTCCCATGGGCATGCATTTGATTCTCACCCGCCGAAACTCGACAAGGGAAAGGGACGTGGCCCCAGAACGCTCGGTCCCGAGGATTCCGACGTCGATGGATACATTGGCCCTAACAATGATGTTTCCGGTGGCTCTTACAGAAGTCGATCGGAGAGTCCCAGCGTTCTTTCCGATGTTATGTCATTGGATAGTTGCAGATCATCACGCGAAGCGTCGCCCATTGAGACGCCCATTGACATCAGACCATCACGCGAAGGGTCGCCCATGGACATCGTATCCTCACGCGAAGGGACACCCCTCGATACGCCCATGGACGACATCAGATCATCACGCGAAGGGACACCCCTCGATACGCCCATGGACGACATCAGATCATCACGCGAAGGGTCACCCATGGATATTATCACCCAACAAGAACTTGCCGTGTTGCAGGCAGACGAGTCGCAGGTAGGCGACCGAAATGCAGCGGTGCAAGAAGCACCAGTTACCACCCTTACCATCACTCCCCAGCAAGCGGAGATCAACGACATGATGGGAAACCAAAACCAGCTCTTTTACGAACTTCCAAATGCGAACAGCCTATACTTTGACGGTTGCATAGATTGGGCTCTGGATGCGGATGGGGATGTCATCATGATGAACGCCCCAGATGAGCGTTATCTTCTCACAAGGGGAGAGGGAAAAGCAATCACAGACCGCGTGGCGATCGCATCTGCAACCCCATTCCCGAGGAACCGCAACCGCGTATTTAAACGGCATGACCGTCTCACTGGGAGTCGTAAGACTTGGAGTAGTATGACTTGGAATCGTCTCGCTTGGACTCCTCTCGCTTGGACTTGTCTCACTGGGAGTCCTCGTCGTCGTCGTCGTCAGGCGCGCCAGAGGGTGATTCAGTTCGTCAATCCCCCAGCACCAGTCAACCTCCCGGTACCAGTCAACATCCCAGTACCAGTCAGCCTCCCATTGCCAGTCATCCTCCCAGTACCAGTCAACCTCCAGTTACCAGTCAACATCCCGGTACCAGTCAGCCTCCCAGTCCGAAAACGGGTTGCTGCCATGACTGAGGGACCAAACCGCAAGAAGAGGATCACAAAAGAGCTGGTGGAAGCCAACGGATCGCTGTTGCTTCCCCTTGTCACAGTATATGTGATGAACACAGCCTCGAACGTGCTAGATGAGAGTGTGCCAGCTGTTTCGCAGCCAGCTCAATCTGTGCATGTTTCGACAGAGGAGGTGCCCACCCAGGCAGTCATGAGTGAGCCAGCTGTTTCTCAGCCGACTCTGACTGTTATGGAGCACACCGAGTCTGTTATGACCGAGCAGGCAGTCATGAGTGAGCCAGCTGTTTCTCAGCCGACTCTGACTGTTCTGGAGTACACCGAGACCACCTCGACCGAGCAGGTGCCTGTGCCCACTGAGGCAGCTATGAGTGTGCCAGCTGTTCCCCAGCCGACTCAAGCTGCCCAGGAGGCCACTGAGCAGATTCCTGCCCACGCAGCTTTGAGTGAGCCCGCTGTTTCTCAGCCGACTCGAGCTGCGTCGGAGGAAGAGGAGAGTCTCGAGACCGTGCAGGTGCCTACCAAGGCAGTTCTGAGTGTGCCAGCTGTTTCCAAGCCGACTCAAGCTGTCTTGGAGTCCACCGTGCCCGAGTCCAGTGTGCTTCAATGCACCTCGCCCGCGTCAACTGTGTCCATCCCATCTGACGAAGTTGTGGGTGCGCCTGCTCCTAGTGAGCCAGCCCCAACTAAGTCAGCCCAGACTGAGCCATCGTCAGCTGAGGGAATTCAGAGTGTGCCTGCTGTTACTAAGCCGACTCTGAATGAATCAGACCTGACTTGGCAGACCGAGGACGAGCCTGTTGTTGGGAGCCTGCGGACCGGTACCCGTTCGCACCTCGACGTGTTGCTTGCGATGCGAGCAGCAAGGACTCAAGCTCGTCCTACCATCATGTCTTCTCCTGAGGGGCTGCAGGTCACAGCAGCCTCTCAAAGCAACTCCGCCTCTTCCCTGGTCGCCAGTCCCGAAGACGCTTCGGTCAAGAATGCCGTTGCAACAGGGACAGATTCCCGTGCGGGGGTTTCGAAAGGCACCAAGAGGGTCGAGGACGCCAACCCGACTTGCAGCGCTCAACGGACTGCAGGAGAACAGCGGGAGAAAATGGGCGGAGAAGAGGCAGCGACTTCTGGTCTTCAAATGCCAGGAGCTTGGCCTTCCGACCCAACCGCTGTCACTGTGTCTGACGAGTCAGACATGCATGAGGGATCGGCTTTGCTGAGGGGGTTGTGGACAGGAGCTGGTTGGGTCTCCTTTGGTGTATTCGTCATGGTGATGGTGATGCTGCTTTCGTTCCCCGTCTGGGCAGGTCACCTTGGACACCTCGTTTACGCCTTGGAGGGTCCCGAACAGTTCCTGGAGGAACTGCGGTGGGAGCACGGATATGATGTTCCGTTCTTGGAGCGGATTATCTATGTCTTCCTCCGTTGTTTTGCCGGAGATCGGACTTTGTTCGGTTAACGGCAAGTGGTACGCACTACATCAGGAGGAGGGACGAATGAGCCACCTCCTGATGGATAATATGATATTACAACGACAAGGCAGGAAGCTGGCAAGTCCGACGATTGCCGCTTCAACTGCAGTACAACGACAGCGGCTCAAGGGGAGGGACGAATGGGCCACCTCTTGAGTTCGCAAAAACGACAAGAGCAGGAAGCTAGCAAGTCCGATGATTGCAGCTTCACCTGCACGAACAGCGGCCAAGGGGAGGGACGAATGGGCCACCTCTTAGGACCGCAACAACGACAATGCAGCAAGCCGGCAAGTCCGATGATTGCCGCTTCACCTGCACAGTTACAGCGCCATGTGTCTGTTACCAAAGACACAGAAACAAGAACCCATTGTTGGAGTACCCTTGTTTCCCACACCCGCGAGGGTGATGGTTGTCGACGCCCATGGCACTCTGTCGGGGCACCTGTTCTGAGTTGTGTTCGATCTTCTTGTTCGCCCACCCTTCGGGGTGGTGTATGATTATTACTGTCGGTTGTCGAAAGACAACATGTACGATTTGTTTGTTGTCCACCCTTCGGGGTGATGTACGAGTTTTTGTTGGCCGTCGAAAGACATCATGTCAGAGTACTGTCTTGACGACATGTCCGAGTCCGTGTTGACTCGATGTTTGATTTCATGTTTGAACATGTGAGACTGCGATGTCGGGGCCCTGGAATATATTATATATTCCCGTATATATTATATATATACTTCTTTGCCTACCCAGGAGACTGGGTAGAAGATGTGGGCAATCGCCACCGTCCTGCCGACACATGAGCCAGCCCCTGGGAGATGAACCCAAAAAGAAAAATCATCTCCCAGGGGCTGGCAATATACGGCACAGAAGCTGCCGCCTGCGTGTTCAGCGGGCTAACCATGCCATTCTGTCGACAACACGCCAGCTCCTGGGAGGGGGACAATATATGATCTCCCAGGAGCTGGCAACGACCAACTATCTGCATGGTTAGCCCGCTGAACACGCAGGAACATGAGCCAGCCCCTGGGAGATGAGCCCCAAAAAAAAAAAAAAAAAAAAAAGAAATCATCTCCTAGGGGCTGGCAATATGGAACAAAAGCTGCCTGCGTGTTCAGCGGGCTAACCATGCCACCGTCGACAACACGCCAGCTCCTGGGAGGGGGACAATATATGATCTCCCAGGAGCTGGCAACGACCAACTATCTGCATGGTTAGCCCGCTGAACACGCAGGAACATGAGCCAGCCCCTAGGAGATGAGCCCAAAAAAAAAAAAAAAAAGAAAGAAATCATCTCCCAGGGGCTGGCAATATGGAACAAAAGCTGCCTGCGTGTTCAGCGGGCTAACCATGCCACCGTCGACAACACGCCAGCTCCTGGGAGAGGGGACAATAAATGATCTCCCAGGAGCTGGCAACGACCAACTATCTGCATGGTTAGCCCGCTGAACACGCAGGAACATGAGCCAGCCCCTGGGAGATGAGCCCAAAAAAAAAAAAAAAAAAAAAGAAATCATCTCCCAGGGGCTGGCAATATGGAACAAAAGCTGCCTGCGTGTTCAGCGGGCTAACCATGCCACCGTCGACAACACGCCAGCTCCTGGGAGAGGGGACAATAAATGATCTCCCAGGAGCTGGCAACGACCAACTATCTGTATGGTTAGCCCGCTGAACACGTAGGGAGGTGAGCCAGCCCCTGGGAGATGAACCCAAAAAAAAAAAAAAGAATCATCTCCTAGGGGCTGGCAATATGGAAAAAGCTGCCTGCGTGTTCAGCGGGCTAACCATGCCACCGTCGACAACACGCCAGCTCCTGGGAGAGGGGACAATAAATGATCTCCCAGGAGCTGGCAACGACCAACTATCTGCATGGTTAGCCCGCTGAACACGCAGGAACATGAGCCAGCCCCTGGGAGATGAGACCCCCCAAAAAAAGAAATCATCTCCCAGGGGCTGGCATTATACGGCACAGAAGCTGCCACCTGCGTGTTCAGCGGGCTGACCATGCCACAAACCAACAGCATCGCATGGTTGGCCCGCTGAACACGTAGGAACATGAGCCAGCCCCTGGGAGATGAGACCCCCCAAAAAAGAAATCATCTCCCAGGGGCTGGCATTATACGGCACAGAAGCTGCCACCTGCGTGTTCAGCGGGCTAACCATGTCACCATTCCGTCGACAACACGCCAGCTCCTGGGATAGGGGACAATATATGATCCTAGGAGCTGGCAACGACCAACTATCTACATGGTTAGCCCGCTGAACACGTAGGAACATGGGCCAGCCCCTGGGAGATGAGACCCCCAAAAAAAAAGAAATCATCTCCTAGGGGCTGGCATTATACGGCACAGAAGCTGCCACCTGCGTGTTCAGCGGGCTGACCATGCCACAAACCAACAGCATCGCATGGTTGGCCCGCTGAACACGCAGGAACATGAGCCAGCCCCTGGGAGATGAGACCCCCCCAAAAAAGAAATCATCTCCCAGGGGCTGGCATTATACGGCACAGAAGCTGCCACCTGCGTGTTCAGCGGGCTAACCATGTCACCATTCCGTTGACAACACGCCAGCTCCTGGGATAGGGGACAATATATGATCCCAGGAGCTGGCAACGACCAACTATCTACATGGTTAGCCCGCTGAACACGTAGGAACATGGGCCAGCCCCTGGGAGATGAGACCCCCAAAAAAAAAAGAAATCATCTCCTAGGGGCTGGCATTATACGGCACAGAAGCTGCCACCTGCGTGTTCAGCGGGCTGACCATGCCACGAACCAACAGCATCGCATGGTTGGCCCGCTGAACACGTAGGAACATGAGCCAGCCCCTGGGAGATGAGCCCAAAAAAAAAAAAAAAAGAAATCATCTCCCAGGGGCTGGCAATATGGAACAAAAGCTGCCTGCGTGTTCAGCGGGCTAACCATGCCACCGTCGACAACACGCCAGCTCCTGGGAGAGGGGACAATAAATGATCTCCCAGGAGCTGGCAACGACGGTAACACCATCTGCATGGTTAGCCCGCTGAACACGCAGGAACATGAGCCAGCCCCTGGGAGATGAGACCCCCCAAAAAAAGAAATCATCTCCCAGGGGCTGGCATTATACGGCACAGAAGCTGCCACCTACGTGTTCAGCGGGCTGACCATGCCACCAACCAACAACATCGCATGGTTAGCCCGCTGAACACGTAGAGAGGTGAGCCAGCCCCTGGGAGATGAGCCCCCAAAAAAAAAAAAAAAGAATCATCTCCCAGGGGCTGGCAATATGGAAAAAGCTGCCTGCGTGTTCAGCGGGCTGACCATGCCACCAACCAACAACATCGCATGGTTAGCCCGCTGAACACGTAGGGAGGTGAGCCAGCCCCTGGGAGATGAACCCAAAAAAAAAAGAATCATCTCCCAGGGGCTGGCAATATGGAAAAAGCTGCCTGCGTGTTCAGCGGGCTGACCATGCCACCAACCAACAACATCGCATGGTTAGCCCGCTGAACACGTAGGGAGGTGAGAGGTGAGCCAGCCCCTGGGAGATGAACCCAAAAAAAAAAAAAAAAGAATCATCTCCCAGGGGCTGGCAATATGGAACAAAAGCTGCCTGCGTGTTCAGCGGGCTGACCATGCCACCAACCAACAACATCGCATGGTTAGCCCGCTGAACACGTAGGGAGGTGAGAGGTGAGCCAGCCCCTGGGAGATGAACCCAAAAAAAAAAAAAAGAATCATCTCCCAGGGGCTGGCAATATGGAACAAAAGCTGCCTGCGTGTTCAGCGGGCTAACCATGCCACCGTCGACAACACGCCAGCTCCTGGGAGAGGGGACAATAAATGATCTCCTAGGAGCTGGCAACGACCAACTATCTGCATGGTTAGCCCGCTGAACACGTAGGGAGGTGAGCCAGCCCCTGGGAGATGAACCCAAAAAAAAAAAAAGAACCATCTCCCAGGGGCTGGCAATATGGAAAAAGCTGCCTGCGTGTTCAGCGGGCTGACCATGCCACCAACCAACAACATCGCATGGTTAGCCCGCTGAACACGTAGGGAGGTGAGAGGTGAGCCAGCCCCTGGGAGATGAACCCAAAAAAAAAAGAAATCATCTCCCAGGGGCTGGCATTATACGGCACAGAAGCTGCCACCTACGTGTTCAGCGGGCTGACCATGCCACCAACCAACAGCATCGCATGGTTAGCCCGCTGAGCACGCAGGAACTTAAGCCAGCCCCTGGGAGATGAAAGCAAAAAAAAAAAAATAATCATCTCCCAGGGGCTGGCAATATGGAAGAAGCTGCCTGCGTGTTCAGCGGGCTAACCATGCCACCGTCAGGAACACCACCTGCATGGTTAGCCCGCTGAGCACGTAGGAACATAAGCCAGCCCCTGGGAGATGAAAGCAAAAAAAAAAAAGAAATCATCTCCTAGGGGCTGGCAATATACAGCACAGAAGGTGCCACCTGCGTGCTCAGCGGGCTCACCATGCCACCATCAGCAACACCATCTGCATGGTTAGCCCGCTGAGCACGCAGGAACTTAAGCCAGCCCCTGGGAGATGAACCCCAAAAACAAAATCCTCTCCCAGGGGCTGGCAATATATGGTACAGAAGGTGCCACCTGCGTGCTCAGCGGGCTAACCATGCCACCATCAGCAACACCATCTGCATGGTTAGCCCGCTGAGCACGCACCAGGAAAATGAGCCAGCCCTTGGGAGATTCCAAGATTATATCATCTCCCAGGGGCTGGCAATATACAGCACAGAAGGTGCCACCTGCGTGCTCAGCGGGCTCACCATGCCACCATCTGCAACACCATCTGCATGGTTAGCCCGCTGAGCACGCACCAGGAAAATGAGCCAGCCCTTGGGAGATTCCAAGATTATATCATCTCCCAGGGGCTGGCAACATGGTACAGAAGGTGCCAGCTACGTGTTCAGCGGGCTAACTATGCAATTCCGTCGACAACACGCTAGCTCCTAGGAGGGTGGACAATATATGACCTCCTAGGAGCTGGCAACGATGGTACAACGAATACCATCTGCATGGTTAGCCCGCTGAACACGCAGCAACATGAGCCAGCCCCTGGGAGATGAACCCAAAAAAAAAGAAATCATCTCCTAGGGGCTGGCAATATGGAACAGAAGCTGCCTACGTGTTCAGCGGGCTAACCATGCAATTCCGTCGATAACACGCCAGCCCCTGGGAGATGAGACCCAAAAAAAAAAAAAAAAAAAGAAATCATCTCCTAGGGGCTGGCGCAACATGGCAATGAAGCTGCCACCTGCGTGTTCAGCGGGCTGACCATGCTACCAACCAACAGCATCTGCATGTTTGGCCCGTTGAACACGCACCAGGAATATGAGCCAGCCCCTGGGAGATTCGAAGATTATATCATCTCCCAGGGGCTGGCAACATGGCAGAGAAGCTACCACCTGCGTGTTCAGCGGGCTAACTATGCAATTCCGTCGACAACACGCCAGCTCCTAGGAGGGTGGACAATATATGACCTCCTAGGAGCTGGCAACGATGGTACAACGAATACCATCTGTATGGTTGGCCCGCTGAACACGCAGGAACATGATCCAGCCCCTGGGAGATCCGAAGACTACATCTTCTCCTAGTGGCTGGTAACATAGCAGCTTCTCTGCCATCTGCGTGTTCGGCGGGCTGACCATGCCATGGTCAGCAACACCACCTGCATGGTTAGCCCGCTGAAGACGTAGGAACATGAGCCAGCCCCTGGGAGATTCCCGGTGGCCCTTTCAGATCTCGATCGGAGAGTCACCCGCAGCAACTCGGCAAGGGAAAGGGACGTGGCCCGAGAACACTCGGTCCCGAGGATTCCGACGTTGATGGGTACATTGGCTCCAACATTGATGTTCCAAAATTATATCATCTCTTAGGGCCTGGCAACATGGCATGAACAGCAGCCAGCTCCTGGGATTTGGAAACAACATTTGATCTCTCAGGAGCTGGCAACATGGCACAGGCATAAGCATGATTCCACACCACCTATGCGTTCAGCAGGCTGACCATACAATTTCCAACCACCGCCAGCTGCTGGCAACTGGGAACATTATACCATCTGCCAAAAGCTGGAAAACATGATACTGCTGTACACGCCACAGTGTGGCACAAAAACAAATTGGTGGTCCCTGCACGCCCACCAGGCCAACTATGCGCATTTCACGCCCAGTGAACCTCCACAGCAGCATCAAAATTGTATTTTGTGACCTTGAAACATATACCGCAGTACCGTGTATTATTCCCGGCTCTCAGGGGGTCAACTGGAGTTCTCGCCATCTCGATTTTTACAAGATATTATGGGAACGATTCAACACGATATGCAACTTGGCGTTAAGAGGCCTACGAATCTGAACGCGAATTCCCGAAGTCCGAGAGATGCCGCCTTCACAGTCAGCAGGCTGACTGACCACTATCCACCAATGAAAGCACGAGCCACGCAGGAGCTGGCGTCACCCACTCCACTTCCCGTTGAAAGAAGATCACTTATCTCCATACCCCCTCGACATATTGTTCACCACGTTATTGAGTCTACTCCTCTCATCGACTTTAAGGAGAGAAGCATCAACTTGCTTCTGACTTGCATTTTTTGCATCGATCTTCATTTCTTTCCATCACCATGTTTGTGCGCTCCGTCTTGCTGGGTGGCACCGCCGCTCTTAGCGCCAGCGCGATGCTGGTCGTCCCCGAGATGGAACCTAAAGTCGATATTATTGAAGATGGATTTGTGAACGTCCACCCGATGCTTTTGGAGGATGTTCATCATGCGATTGTTGACCTGCCCTGCACTGAATGTCCTCTGCGTGAAACCAACGGCGAAGGTGTTGTTAGCTGGACGGAGGGCAAACCATCATCTCTAGTAAGGATGACAGAATCCATTTATTCATCCGAACTGGCTAACAACCCCTCCAATAGACTCTCGATTTCTCGATTGAAGACAACCGCCTGCTGGCCAACGGCCGCCAAATATTCCCACCGGCCCCGCCCATTCCAATTCTTGCTGTACAACAAAATGAAGAGGGAGAGGACTCCGCCCCCATGCCTGTTGGATATGCGCTTGAAATCATGCCGATGGCTGCACCATCTGATGAGCCGGGATACGAACTCCTAGATATTCGATTCACTGTTCTCGACCTGGAGAGCCACCCAGTCCCTGTCGATACCGTTGCACTCGCCGTTCTACAGGATCCCAACGGCGAGCTCTTCATCGCTCGGACCGATATCGAGAACACCGCTCCTGCCTCCGACCGCTTGTCTTGGAAGGAGTGTCACGGCAAGGCCAAATGCCTGCAGGAACTTCTCGTCTCTCGCATTCGGGGCCTCTTGGCTGGTGCCAAGGCTCGTGTGACGGGCATGGCGAAAGCCGGCCGCAAGAGCTGCCATGGCAAACACAAGGGCAAGGCAATGGAACAACACAAAGAAGGCCATGACGGTATGCCTTTCCCTCCCCCACCTACTTTTGAGGGAGAGGACTTTGGGCGTGAAAAGTTTGGCCCTGGCGGTCACCATGGCCACGCCCACGGCTCCGCTCGTCCCCACCATCGCCACCCATACCATGGCGCTTTCGCCCGCACGTTCTCTCGAATTGTGCACTTTATTGTTGTCCCCGCTATTTTGGGTGTCCTAGCAGGACTGACTGCTAGTGCCATTGGCATGTTGGTCGGCCAGGCTGTGGTTTTCCTCTGGCAACGCTACCGCGGCATCACTTCTTCGGAGCACAAGGCCGCCTGGGAGGATGGCGAGGCCTGCGAAAAACAGGGCCTTATGGCCATCCCTCGTTCATCCGAGGAGGTCCTCCCTGAATACACCGAGCCTTCTGAAGCCCGAGAATCACTTGATAAGAACTAAGAGAAAAGAAAAGAAAAGAAAAGAAAAACAAAAAAAAAAAAAGAAAAGAAAAGAAAAGAAATAAAGAAAAACACAAACGCAAGAGCATTCGTTCAAGATGTCTTTTGACAAGTCCTTCGAGGCATCATTCGATCAGGGACCATCACCAGCCACCTGGACTGGCCTTCCAATCTATTTCCCTGGACAAGACAACAAAAAAAGACCAACAGAAACGAGACCAAGCACAGCATCAAGCAAAAAAAGCGACAACGAGCATAGCAAGAAGAAAAGATCCCACCATCCTTGATCAACAGCCATTTCCAACCGGACTCACCTTTCCACTCATTTATTTGCCAGGCCAACGGGCTAGAAAACACCGAGCCCTCTGACGCTTGAGGGTCATCGATAAGAACAAAGACAAATTCCACAAGTTCCGCCATCGTTTATCTGGCCACAACCTGTGAGACTGTACTTTCCACTTTATCCATCGCCAAATCCACGCCTCAAAGCTTAACCTTCGGGTCGCTCGACAAGAACAACAAAAGAAATATTTCGTTGTCGTTTAGCCAATGGCCATAACAGTCACACTGGACTTTCCACTTTTTCCACAGGCAAAATTCACATTCATGCATGCAATGCTACAGCATGAGGCACTCGACAAGAACAAGAACAAAAAAAAAACAAAAAACGTTTCCGATGTCTTTTGCCCTATGACCATCACTAGCCAAACTGGGCTCTCTCTTTTCTCCACGGTCAATGCTTCTTACAGGCCCCTCTGACACCTCACAATCACGAGACAAGAACAAAACACAAATTCCACTGTCTTCTGGTTAAGGCTCAATGCCATTTGCGCAGTCTGCACTGTGCGGAGTCGATGTTCTATGCTTATTCGCTCGGACTGGGCTATCCCACGCCCAATCTTCCATGGCCAACGATTGCCTTGAGCTTGGTTTTGTTCAAATCTGTTATGTTTCAATTTGTCCTTTTGCTCCTGGTCTTGTTTACGTCTTGTTCTATTTCTAAATCTTGACTTGTTCCAGTCTGTTCTTTCTCTTATTTCAGTTTTATTCTCAATTTTTCTTTCAATGCCTATTTTGCTCTCATGTCGAGCCTGGACAGTGTTTCCAATTCCCAATTTTCGTCTGACGATAAGATGTTCGTCTCCTACCATCTCAGGCTTGTGCAGTGGTTCTTGTGCAGTGTTTATGTCCATGTCAATCAAGCCTCATAAATTGAAATATCTTTAGTTATTAGTCTTTTCTCTGTAGTATAGGATAGTAGGATGGAAGTCCGCTATACTCACTTGTATTTTATTCTGACAGCGAAGCTATTTAACTGCACGTTCATCAAGCCGTTTCGCACATTTTAAGCTGCTTTCACCGTTTAATAACAGGGGCATCTAAAAAGACATATATCTTGGGATTTATATTGCAGGTGTCTTTCCAACTTATAGCTACTGGTCTACATATATACAGTGAATATTGCACGATACCTAGGCCAGAGCAGGGGGAAGAAGAATCCCTTGAATGCTGTGATGCCAAGCTATGGATAAGGCTGAGGACAGTCACGTGAAACCGGCATCATCACGCCCCCTCTTATCAATCCGACAACAACAACCCGACGCAATCCTCTTGTTCTGTAGGCCTAGTCCTCGGCCAAGGATGATTTAGCTTGTACGATGACCTTGAAGCTTCAATTTAAACCACACACGGGCTTTTCTTTCCTACTCCTAGCCCGGATCTGCTGCACTCAAAGTCCCAAACTGTAGCTTGACCCCGACATCATCGGTTATCGGCTTCAGGACATTCTTACAAATTCCCACATCCACCTCTCCAACATGATACCGTGGTCATCCTTCGTTCAGAAGGCCCAGAGCCTGATCGACCCTGCCAACTTCAACATCCCCGCCCTGTCCTCTCCCGATCATAATCCCTCCAAGGCATCGCTGTTCCGGCAACAATTCCGCCTCCCTGATTCCCAGAACCCACTTCAAGAGATCACCGCTGATCTCGTTCTACCACTACCAAATTCCTCAGCAAATCAAGGAGATGGCTCCCGCAGGGTTGACCGGGCGGGAAATACATACACCGGACGTCTACATCTGAGTGAACGTTTCATCTGCTTCTCGACCCAGCCGACGAGCTTCATTCCTTCTGCCACTGTAAGTGCCTCAACCACTTGGACTGGCCAAACACATGGCACTGGGCCATCCGGAAATGGATTCATTCTCCCGCTGTCCTGCATACGACGTGTCGAACGCCTTCATAGCGCCAACCATGTTTTCTCCCTGGCGCTCACAACATGGAATGGTTTGCTCAATAAGCAGCAAGACCCCAACTTCGCCCCTCAACGCCTCGTATTGCAGCTTGTCGGTAGCAGACAGGCCTGCGAGCGATTCTGTGACACACTGAAAAAAGGCCTGCGGGAAGGAATGAAAGAGGTTGACAGCTTGCGGACCGTCGTCTCGGATTGTTATTCGGAATATTTGCTTTCAGGCGCAAAGGGAAAGGGACAAGACGGGAATGAGGCTGACACTCGTCAACCCCCGGATGCCGGACTGGGACTGATTTTCCGCTACCCTGGTGATGCACGCAAGCTCCGTGATCGCAGCAAGATGAGGCTCTGGGGCGAATATTTCCGAGGTAAAAAGACATCTATCTTTTTTGATTGAATATTCCGAGATCTGACTGATAGCCACTAGAAAATGGTCGCAATGCGACATTGATTCGCCAACCAACCTTCCACAAGCTAATCAGAGTTGGGTTGCCAA